GGGAGAGAGATTTGAGATTTGAGCCTGCCCTCAACGGACCCTGACGCTGCAGTTTTCCCTGAGCCGCCGTGTGTGTGTGTGTGTGTGTGTGTGTGTGTGTGTGTGTGTGTGTGTATACACTCTCACACACACACGTTCTTTCCAGACACTCCAAATAGAGATCTTGCTCTCAGAGACAGAGCAGGGCAGTGAGCTAAGAGGAAAATGTGAAGTAGACAACCAACCACAGCCTTAAAAGGCTTCACACACTTAAAATGCTTTTCTGTCATAGTTCTTTGATCCTAACCATGTTAGAATTTACCACATGGAGCATTTGACATCACTTTCTATTTGATGACTCTGCATAAAAAAGATTCAAATCAACGAAGAGCATTGCCTTACTTCTTTTCTGTGAGTATGAATACACAAAAAGACACGTTGGACGACAATGAGCAGAACATGCACCGGCCCACCATCGAGAACCTGACCAAGATCATGGCTGTGTTTCTGGCTGAATACCTGGGCTTCTAAACACCAAGACATGAAGACCACTGATCATGTTTACCCTGCACTGGAGTACTCGTGCTTTTGTCACACTGGTTACGAATGAGTGACTCTGTGCATAAGAGGAGTCCCTAGTGAAATGAACTTAACTGAACTGAGATACCAAAAGGCTATGGGGAAAAGGCTTATTCATTTTCTTGTCTAAAGTTAGAGAAACTGTCATGTACTGTATGTCACAGTCCTGCACCAGGTGAGGTAATCTGCAAAACAGATGTGAAGGCCAATGGGTAAAAAATACAGTAACCCACTTCTGTGAGGAGCTAAGTGACATAGACTGTAATAACCATAAATGAAAGTACACAAGTTACACAACAAGTTAAATGGCAAAATTGACAGGTGATACTTCACAAGCATTTGAAAAAACAGTTGTATGAAAATAAAAATTGGGTCCTTTAAAATAATGAACTTGAATGAATAAACTTTTTACTTGTCAGTCGTCTCTAAAGTCTGTTTCCTGTGATCAGTCTCGTGTGTGTGTTTGTCAATCCGCTGTCTTTTGTTTGTTAATATCAGTGACTGCTCCTGTGACAGTTCCTTAAAATAGCATGCACCCTTTATGAGTGAGTGTAGTAGTCCTGGTGACTAGCACCACAGGGAATATTCGATGGATCTCTTCCTCCTGGTAGGATCACATCGCCATCCATCAGAAAGGATCTCCAAAAGTTGTTCTCACTCTGTCCATAAGATCAGAATAGATCACAAGACAAAAGTGGCCAGTGGTGAATATGTTTTGGTACAAAGCACCAAAAGGTATGAGCATTTGATCTCTGCAATCTCGGCACGTCGTCAGGAGATACATTGAATTCTGCAGGAGCAGAGGTGCTGTGACAATTAACAGATACATTTCCAAGAACTCAACACGACCACCAAAACATGAGGATGAGGAGGCCATAACCCATTAATTGTGAGTGACTGTGTATTTAGCATGTTAACTGAGCCAGTCCAGATATGACTTTTTAATAGTGAGTCAGGTCCAGTAACGGGCTTTGCTGGCGGGTTTGCAAAAATTGATGCATGCAGGACGTTAGCTACGTTTAGCATGAAGACTACAATTAAGTAGAAACACTGCAAAAACCAAAAGCTTGTAAGTGCTATGGATCCTGCCATCTAGTGTTTATTGCCCAAATATGCCAAACTATTCCTTTGAAGGACAAGTTTGGGATTTTTCAAGTCAGTCCATTTCTGTCTTTAAACACCAGCCCTGAATCTTTTCACCCGGAACGCTGTACGAAATTGAGACAAGTGCACAGGCCTTGTTCTGTGCAATCATGCACTTGCATCTATCCCATAAGACCAAACACACACATACAAAGTTGACCATATCCACAGAAATGTTATTCTTCCTCTTTAACTGTCCATCATGTGGTTTTGATGAATACAGTCTTTTCTAAGACACACAAAAACTGCGGATGCAGCTGATAAGTGAGCCCTGTCTCCAGTGATGGATGGATGTGGAGCTGTGACATGTGATGGGAAAAGGGAAGTCATGGTGACTAATGATTAGCCATGGAGATATTCATTTCAGCAGGGGCACCAACATGCCCTCCGTCCCTCCAGCTGTCTCCCTGCTCTTTAATGGCAACTGTATATGAATCTTAATGAAAACATCTCTCTTGCTGTGACCACCTCTCCATCGATTTCGCCCGCAGAGCCAGAGGAGTGCTTGACAAAATGTGATGCGTTATAGATTACAGATTACCATCTTAAATTCCAATCAGGACCATAATAGATTAGATGGCCTCAACTATAGAGACCTGCAGTAATAAAACAAATCTTGTCTGATGGGCAGTGGTGTTTGTGCAAGTGCGAGTGCGTGAGCTGATGTGGTGATATGATGTTTGTGTTAAAATGTTTCATGAGTTTTTTATGTGATGAGAGACAGAGCAGAAGCAGAAGTTCACAATATAGTCACTGTATGACTCATTCATCCCAATAAAATGAGTGTGTGTCCGTGTGTAGCTTTAAAAATGAGCATGTGAACAAATGACCACATTAAATAGATTTGATGATTCAAAATGATGTTGATTGAAACCTCTGTAACTCTGCTCTGCTTCACTTTATTAGTATAAATGCTCACATGAGCTACAACTGCATAATTTCATAGCAGATATTCACTTTAAAATGTTGAATTTCTTCGGCGGACACGTCATTTTCTGTTCCATCTTCATTTACTCTGATGTTGTAACATCTACATTGATGCTTACACCTCTGCAGAAATCTCACAGGTGTTAAATTTTTATACTGTCGATATGATTATTCATATAGACCTTGTAGTTGAAGAGGTATACACTATTCATTTTGGGCGTGTCATTTTTGAGTAGAGGCCTGAGAAAAGGCCAGATATGCAGGGATTAACAATTAGAGACAGATAGACAGAGAGAGTGTGTCAGAGAAAAATGATATTTGACAGCAGGAGACGTAGACGCTGGTGTATATGTGTGTGCCTTTCCCACGCATGTGTCAGGGTTGTTGCCTACAATCACTGGGTGAGCACATACTGTATGTATGTCTGCTGCCCCCCCCCACACACACACACACACACTCAGTCGGCGTCTTCTCACCGGCCTCTCTGCCCTCCGAACCTAACAGCTCAATTTCAGCATACCCCTAGCACACACACACTAACACACGTTGGGCGCCTGTAGACCTAAATAGCTCTGTGCTGTGGGTCGCTTGTAAATAACAGTCTATTAGGCTGGAGATGTTGCCAACAACACTGAGAATATCTCACTCTCACAGACACAAGTTTGGAGAATCGCTTCTTAAAAGAATTTAAATCGTCATTACTGGAATAAAAACTAAGAAAAAGTAAGAGACCACTGAGACACAAACCAAAATTCTTACAATATAGAAACAAGTATGAAGGCACAAATGCTGTATGTGCATAATTAATAAATCAGAGCCAGTTGTTTCTCGAGGTTCAACCAGATTCTCTCCCCCTGGGAACCCACTGGACTTTAAATAGATGTAACAACAGAACATGGACAAGTGAGGGAGAAAGATGTAGCCAGGAAGAGAGAAAGAGAGAGAGAGAGGATCTCATGCATCAAACTGATTCATGCATTAGAGCTGTAAAACGCACATGACAAGGACATGGAGACAGAAGGAGCGGTGTGTTTCCCCCCCATGCAGCGCTGCGCAGATGTAAAGGAAAACAGAGCAAAGCACAGTGGGTCTTTTCAACAGCCTTTCAACAAACAGCCAGACGGTGAAATATTGATGCTTAGATTCCAACAAAGCAATGTCCGAATGATTTCGGTACATCTGAGTGGGGGAATCTGCTGATCTATAATTGATACGGCTGAAATGTTAATAACTTGATGGGGAGGCACTGGAACAGAGACCTTTCAGGAGATGAGTTAAAAATGTGCGTGTGTGTGAGCTTTGAGTGTTTACCCTCCTGTCTGTGACTGGGGGTTTGCGTCTGTAGCCTCATACATTCATGGTGCCCGTTAGATTCCAGAGATATAGTGGTGTCTCTGATGTGAAGGATGGATTGACAGTCCCTCAGAGTGGGTTAGTGATTGGGGCACTAGTATCCCAGTTATGAGACTTAACCTGGTATTGATCATATTCAGGATATGGTTATTCACATCTCTGTATTCAGGACAAATACAAGCCTTTTGGTTACTTATAACTGGCAATTTTGATTCCTATATGACGGCTATTGAAAATGAGGCCACTTTGGCTCATAGCAGACTTTATTAAATGCCAACAGTGCATTGCACATTTGGCTTCTCCAGCTTATTGCCATCATTGGGAGAAAAGAGCAACAGTAAATATTCAACATGCCCTGCACTTTAGCCAGTGTTGTGATGGGACAGGATACTGAAATCGGGATATGACGTTAAAATGGGATACTCCAAAAACCATCATATAGTAAAGTTTTCGATGGTGCTGTACTATTATTAAGATGTATGTTGTTTTCTGACTGCATGTTTCCTGTGTAACCTTCTCTAAGTGTGGCTGTTTGTTTTTCTGTCTGCCTCTATCTCCGCTTCATGCTGCCTCATCTCCTGCCTCTCTCTCAGCCTCACCATGCAACAAAAGCCAAACAGCCAAAAAACAATGCTGGACAACAAATCCTCTTATCTGTGTTTAATTCTTTTCGAAGTGTGAAAACCATCCCGGAACAGTAAATGTGTTGTAATTAGACTTTGATAATTAGAGGCAAGGGACCGAGGGAGGTCCCAGAGTGATTATTATGGGATAGCAAAAGCCAGAAAAACAGGAGGAGAGTGGGCTGAAGTTCACTTAATGCACCCAACAACTCTCACACATGCAGAGACAAGCTGGTGGAGACAGAAAATGCCACAGAGAATGAAGGAAAAGAACACTTCCTCGACACAAGCAACTTCACATCTTTTAATCCGTACTTCATTTTTCTTTGTTTTCCATTCATATCTTCATATCTTCATCTAAAATCGATCCATCCATTCATGCGCATGTCTCCTTACCTGCAGTCCAGCTTCTCTATCTCAAAGTGCGGGTTGAAGTTGAGGACAATGCGTTGCGAAGGCTCAGGGGCTGTGATGACCCAGCGGCAATTCTGGTGGGGCGGGTACTCGAGCGGGTAGCCAGGTGTGGTGATGTATCCGGCATCGCTGGCGTCTAAGTAGCCGCCACATGGCTCAGACGCTGCACAAGGGGAAAGAGGAGGAGGAAGGCATTAGAAGTTTGAAAAAGTCAAGTGGATGCACAAACATGTTTGTTTTTCCTTGACTTTTTTCCACTACATCACCTTGGGTAAAATTGATAAAATTCCATTTTAATACATAGGTTTACACACTGAGTGAACTCATTGATTAGTGTTTAAAAATGTGATGAAAAACAACTAAGACAGGAGAGGTTGGGAACATTGAAGGGCGGAGGTCAAAGGGCAAGAAGTGACCATTCAAAGAGAAAACTTTCTGACAAATATAAATTCAGAAGCGGAGGAGGACCAATCAGATAAGCCACCAGTAATAACTTCCCTCACAACAGCAGATAAAAGTCGAGAGTATCATCAGGGTCAATGTTGTTTTCTTATCAAGACTGACCAGGTGGACGTCAACATGCTCTATGAAGTCATTCAAATCAAATCTAATACATATTTGTTCATTATTCATGATGTGACACATGGGAAAAGAGGCAAAACAGATAAAATGCAGATAAGAGTTGTGTTTGCAGAGACAGGATGTGAGGAACAAAGGCGCGTGTGTGTGTAGATGTCTCTGTGCATTTGGAGTCAAGGTCAATGCAGCATCATGAGGTACAATGACTCCATTCTGACCCAAGACTGACGCATACGCATACAGACACACACACACACACACATACACACACACACATAGCTGACCAGATGCCACCGTTACTGTCTGTGAGCGGATCCACTTGTCAGCGGTCATACGTCTGTGTCATGTCATCAACAATGCCACTCATTCAGTGGTGCAGATGCAGCCTGACATAGATGGGTAACTCATATATTACTTTGACACCCACCAACATAACACACACAACCCCACTGTATTACATCTATGGCATCTATTGTGCACCAGGCTGGCTGGCCTGTTTGATTGACTATACAGCCAATTTCATGAGCTGGACTTCTGTCTTTGTTTAAGATCCGGAAAACCTTAACCTAAACCATACTGGTGGATATATGATGACACCCATCTTTGTTAAGGTCAAGCACTTCTAACATAATGACGCCATCTGAGCTTCTATCTGCTAGAGGACACTGAAGAACTGTTTTAACTTTGCTCATTTAACATGCTCAAAATAACACTCCGACCACGGGTCACTCTCGGCTGTAAATCATGACATTTCACTCAGTTTTAATGACATCAAATCACTTATTAGAACCAAACTCTCCACTTGAATGCACAGCCGTCTGATAAGAACCACCCAAAATGACAGAATATATATACAAAAATATACAGTATATGATGAGTACTTCCATCCCAAACAAGGGGTTAATGACTTATACTACAACCATCAGGGGGAAATCGAGACACTTTGGCTTCAGTAATGTTGTCCATCTTTATATGGAGTCTCGGAGGCAGACATGATGATCACTCTAATAAAAGCAGCATCTGTGTTTGTCTGGTGCTCGCTGGGAAGTACAGACCGAGGATAAAACATATGAGAAACAACAAAATATCTTTGTACGGTGTTGGGCCCCAGTGAGCCGCCAAAACAGTTTCACTACACCTTGATATTGATTCTACAATTCTCTGAAATCTACTGTCGAGATAAAAACAAACGATGGTGGTGGAGGAAAGAGCTGCCCAACTCGTCTTGACCGAAACCTCCCTGTTTGCGTTAATGGTTTGAGATGTGGTGAGTGCGAAGGCCATGATTCGTTTTATCAAACTGTTCAATGATCTCTCCTTCCTGTTGTCATCCTGTTTCCCTCACTCAATCTGCAGCTTTTTGTTCTATTTGTCCCCCTTCTGCATTTGAACAATCATTCCTCTGTCAGTTCAGACTCAGTGGGCGTCTAGGAACACCAACCTGATAAAAAAACACTGTGTTTATTATTTATTGCCACTGTGCTGAGTGGGGTGACATAGCCAAGTCAAACTACTCAGCAGAATACAACATGTTTGAATGCTATTAATAGAGTGGCTACTGTAAACCTATCCTCCGAGAGGAGTAACTGTACACATTCAACATTAACACACACACACATGCACGGCATAAACACTTTATCAGACGCAGTCTTCACAATAAATTCAAATAGTGAGACAAACAAATACACAAGGAAACGCTGACGATCACATTGTGCTGTGTCATGTCTGCAGCTACTGTATGAATGCACATAGACTGATTGATATTTACTCATGCACTCCAGAGTCAGCTGCAGATGATGAAAGTGTGGGTCAGTCTGACAATGGGGCAGCTTTATCTGTTACCTACCTGACCCTATCTGCAAACAATTAGTGATCACCCCTCTATATCTCTATCTATCTCTATCTCTCTATCTCCAACTGTCTCCCCCCCTCATGCTGTGAGCCAACTAGTCCTGTCTGTCTCCCCCTATCTGTTTCCAATCTCCTTGGTGACATTCAGTAATACAGGAATAGAGTTACAGGGCCTATGTAACCCGGCCAGACGCATTTCATCTCAGCACCACCTGGATTAGTGCTTAACCACTCTGGAATCTCACAGCAGCATCAGCCAAACACCACTTTTAGCACAGCGCTTTGCAAACTGTATCCAACGAAAAATCTGGGATATGCAGAGAGGCAGCGCAAGAGGGAAAAACTAAAGATTGTTCGATAAATCTACCTGACTCATACCCTAATGCTTTGCAGTTCTAGTGCATGCTTGGTTGTTATCCGAGTGGGTTGAGAGCTATAAGAGTTAAAACATGATTTTATAAGATTCAGTCCCTGCACAAGACTCTGGTATAGGAGGTTTGATCTTTTTTTCTACTTCACTTCTGCCTATACCTGACTCCAGCCAACAACCCACTGGCGGCTATACAGTGGCTGGATAAAATAACAAGATACAGCACAATCCAATTCACTTTCTAGCACTTTCTGTTTTATTTTAGTTTTTCAGACTATGTCCGAGATGTTTGTCCATTTATCTATCGTCACTCTTCAACTTTTTATATGGGCAAGTTTGTGTGGGTATCATTCTCATCTTTTCTTCCACTTTTCTTATTTTTTCAGACTCCCCTCATCTTCTCCTCCTCCTCTTCTCCTACTCCTCTTCTCTCACCTCTGGCATACAGCTGATGAAGACAGTACCTCCAAGCATCAAATTAATATGTTGGTTTGACAATCTCTGCACTCTTCACACACACGCAAAACAATTAATTTATCACTTCCTGTTCCAGGGACGATAATTTTAAGTAAATGTGATATTGTTTGTACAATTGGTGCATACACACACACGTATAAATGTACACATACAATAATATGATGCTGACACTGAGTTCCTGCAAAAATAAACCAAACATTTTTCTTTTGGGTAGAACAGCTAACTGCTACCTTTATATCTAAAACAAAGAAACTGTCTGAATGCAACATCCATCCAAAAGTGAATCTATAGCTGCTAATTTGTATTCCACTCTCCGGCACCCTGACCTGTATGCTGCGGAGAAGGTGCAGTGGGCGAGTGGGAGGACAGTGGAGATGCTGAGTTGGGAAAATGCCTGAATTCATGTCAAGAATTATCAAACAGGTAAACCTAAGAGAGACAGAGAGTGAAAGAAGAGGAACTGAAGAGGCCTTAAAAAAAGACAATGGCAGGGTCGAGATAAGAGAAAGAAGGAGAGAATAAAGGTATTGCAGTTGCCTCAAGCCTTTAAGGATAGTTTACCCCACTTCATTTTTTTTTCTTTTTAGCAATGTTGCATTGAACCCAGGCCTGAATAAATCCCCTGTGAGTAAAATGTCCTAACAATGAACTAGAATTATGACAAAAGCTAATAAAATATGATTTAGTTGAGTTGTGCTATACCCTGCTTCAAGCAGCTTCATACGTAGGTGGCTGCCCACTTCATAGTGAATAAATTATTCAAACCATTTACTCAAGTAAAAGCAGAAGCACTACAATGTGAAAATACACTGACGACTATAAGTTCTATAGTAGTATCAGCAAAAATACTTAGACGTGAGTGTAAATGTCTCATATTATATTTGTATTCATGTTATGTCAACTATTACCTACTTTATGAAATTTTGGGTGGTTTTATTTGTAAAAATGTTATATGATGGCAAGTTGTTTGAGTTATTACACATACACATTATTATAATCAAAAATGTAGTATACATACACATTGTTATTATTATTATGTAAAAGTGATTACAGATATAATATAGGGCGCATGGATGGAAGCTTGTATCTTCATATGGCTGCAGGCTCTGTTCTGACCCTTGGTTGCATCTCTGCCCAAACGTATCTTAAAAGCATGAGACACTATACAGTAATTCTGACAAATGAATAGGTATGAACAACACAACATGGAATGACTCAAGTTAAGAACAAGTAAATCTGCACTGAAGCACAATAGCCAAGCTCAGCTGAGGTTCTTGGTACAGTCCACCACAGACTGCGTTAAAATCTGTGGTGAGTTGGTGCCTTTATCATTTATTATGAGCTGAAACAAAAAGCACCACATCCAAAACACCACAATTTTCTTTACTCCTTCTCTGTTTGTCTGTCGCTCACTGACGACAACCCTTCCCTCCTCTTGACCCCAGACTTCACACAACGCAGCTTCTCTCTCAACCACATCAGCGTGTGTGATCTTCAGGGAGAGGTTGTATTTAGACCACATTTTCACAACAAAATGCACAAACACAAACCGCTGAACATCGCTTATCCGCCTCTGGCTGACGCATCAATGAGTTCAGACCTCACACACATACACACGTAGAGACACACACCCAGGATAAGCAACAGTAAACGATGCTAAGCAGTCAAGCAGGGATATGAGACAGGTCGCTGCATTATTTATGGCTCTCCGACATGTTCAGTGTTGCCTCCTGATAACACCTATTCAGCAACTTTTTCCCCCACATGCACATCCCTCAACACAGACATGCACAGATCCACCCATACAGTGGTAATCAAACCTTTACAGAAATGCATGCCCAGCAGAGGGGGCACACAAAACAATCAGGCTAAGTCACACGTATTAC